TACCCTTTTTCTTAATTGCATCGTTGGGAGTTTATCAATTAACAACAATAATTGGATTACTAAATTCTGATCAAAGGTTTGCTCTTAAGACATTACTATGGGTAGCTACTATAAGTCTGCTAATAATTGATAATTCGAAAGAATCAGTTGTCAGAAACGAATCGAAGTGACTAAATCACATGTATAATATTAACATGAGTCGTTATTTAACACATAACATTACGTAGCACAAAGATGAATAAACACTAGACATTATTTTTATGTGAAGTTAAGTGATAAATAGCTGGTTTAAATTGAATATCAGGAACTGAGATAGCTAAGTTTATGTTTAAAGTTATGAGCATAAAGTGATAAAATATACGAACCAGTTTGATTGGATTTTATAAAAAGAACTGAACACTACAAGAAAAATGTTTTCATTGGTATGAGAACAAAAGACAAAGAGTCAGAGTCAAAACTGAAATAACACCACAGAAAATTGTAGACACATACTTCAAAGGAAAAGTTACCCACCTCATAGAAACGGGGTGGGTGTAGGGGTAACGAAGATGAGAATAAAGCTATAGATATAGAATGCCATTTCTACTTATGGTTGTATTTAACCTTCTAAGTATAAATGCATGAACTTGAAATTTCACTGTGCATATATCTAACTTGCATGGTATAGAGGTGTCAAGCTACGATGTGACCACAACAACCTACTTAAACATGAAAAAAATCTTAGCTTCAGTTTGAATAATATTGTTGTTCTAAACCAAGCAGACATTGATAAACATAAGTTTTCTATTGATACAACCTAGACGTCAAATAAAAAATAACACTTAACCATACAAACTGTGTTTAAATAATTATCAAACCTATAATTGTTAACGATGTATCAAGGTGCTCTGTCGAAAATCAAGCAAACATCCTGCTCATCTCCTATAGTATTATTAGTACAAACTAAAAACACTTCTAAAACGTTAGTTACTTTGGAGGTTCAATAAATTTAATATAAGTTATTGTTCTCTTTAACTCATATGTTTAAATTTCGATGAGATCAATTGTAATAAGTTTCTAACAATTCTGTTTTCAGATAAAAAAATAGGCTGACTGCAAGATGTTTTTTTAGATAAAGAAAAAACTCAGGAATCACAAGTTCATTTTAAAATTCATAAAACATCCTCTACATTAACTTAACAAAAGCTAAAAAATGCAGAGAATGATACTTATGGAAGATTTGTTAACTCACTATAAATCCAAATGTTTTCAAATAAGCAGATTTTCATAGCAAGGACACACTTAAAAATACACACATATATGAAAGAAAAAGTAATCTGATCTATGGAATTACATTCCAAGTCAAGGTTAAATCCTTCATTGCAATAAGACAGAATAGACACATTCGTAAATGCATTATAGTGTTATATTATACATTTCCTATCCGTGATCACTTTTTTTTTAATTTACTGTACCTACTCTGATCACAAATACTTAAATTACTTCTAATACAACAGAACTTGAATATAAAATAAAAATACAACAACAATACAGTTCTATTCTCAAAAGCCTGGATTTGCTTTATTTGTGAAGGCAATTGTAAATATTAATTGAATTCAGCTTTATACTGAGAATGATGCCATTTTAATTATAACCATTTAACTTACAGTAATTTTCATAACTACCATGTAGCAGGTTTAAATAATGGGTTTTCAACAGCAATTTTCACTTTATTCAAACGCCAATACTTCTAGAAGTAAAGATTTTTTATTTATTTTATTAACCTGTACACAAAAGGTCTATACTTCCTTTATTAGCTCTATCTTTTACACCGCACAACACTGATCATGCCACACCTCTATATATTTATCAGTTAACACATACACAGCATATTAAGTTTTAAAGTGATCTTAAACCACAGCGAATAATGCACATCATTAAAGAATCAGAAAGCTTAAATCAACAACAAATCTTGTAAATGTGCCATTTCCATACTCGGTAAGTTATTAGGTTGATTACGCAAGCATTGAATACTCTAAAATCTGTTTTAACCTTTTTATTGAAAGTACATCAGATGTTTCAACCTACCCTAAACAGCACAGTTGGAACAAAGTAAAAACAATATATATATATATATATAACACAGTTTCTTCGAATACACTTTGGAAGATAGTTTGCTGGTTGAGCTGGGTGAATTTTCTTAATGTTTGAAAGTTTCAAAAGTGTTGTTTCAAGAATGAAGAGGTAAATTGTTACGATGTAATACGAAACATGTAATGCTATTCTCTCTCGTAATTACTTATATAAAATTATATCAGAATTACTGCATAAATAGATTTTTAGAACAAAAAATATTGAATATCAGCGGATGATATTATTTATAATATCATGTACAAGTTCACCATACCTTCCATTTCTCTTCAATTTTCTCCACAGTGGTGTGGAAATATTTTGTCCAAAATAATAGTTTCGAAATGATTTCAAGTTGAGAACATTTATTCACGTTGCTTTATCCATCGATAAGTTCCTTCGGTCATCTCATCAGTGTAGACATGAACTACTAGAAATGTATTTTCTTTGGTGGCATACCTGTGTATTGAGGAAATTGAGATTGTAACGCAAGGTTTCTCAGTAGTTCTTCGATACTCCCATTATATGACTCACTTCATCAGCTTTTTAACACTAGGGAAGGTTTAACATTACATCTCCTTGCAATAACGTAAATTTATCAGTAAAATGACCATAAATAAACTATATTAATATCTAATTCCTAAGAATGGTGTATATCAGCACCAGTTCATGTCTCATAAGTACAATGGATCAGAATGACGTATATCAGCACCAGTTCATGCCTCATAAGTACAATGGATCAAAAGGCCAAAGTCGCTGCTAAAAGCCGAAAAACGTAATAACACAAAACAAATCATATTTATAGATTCTTTCAGCTCTTGCAGAATTAAAATTATCATTAACTTCTGATAAAGATAAGTTACTTACACTGATTATAATTAAAAGTTAACCCATTAATAAATATAGTTAATGTAATATACCATTCAAACTAGGTATATGCAAGTCAAAACAAAAACTTGAGATAATTAAAAGGCATTGCTTTGCTTCGTCAGGTATATATATTAAACATTATAATCGTTATTGTTAATTCATAAAAAAATGTTACCATTGGGAGGTGTACCCACTCTTGTCTAAGAAATGCACCTAAAAGAACACAAAAAATAATAATACAGAAGAAATTATATTAAAAGTGCCCCTTCAACATGTTAATAAAAAGAACGTTTGAATGACATAGATGAAGGATGATAGTGAATGTTTCCATCAGAAAAAGAGTAAGGTTCTAAACAGACCTACCAATGTGACAACACACTCCAGGCCGCCAACAGGTAGAAATTCTATGCTTCACCCTCATTTGGACCGATTCAGTTTCTGCCAAACTAAAAATAACAGGTCACGTACCCCAGAACTAGCTCAATTAAGGCTCCCTGTATCCCACAGGGCAACTGCTATGCTTAGTCCTGAGGGACTCAAATACTTATAAGTTTCTAACCTTTCTTTTGATGTGGTATCCCAAAGTCATCGCTGCATTCACTGAATTGTTGCTTGGTCTTGATATGAGGATAATTTTGACTTAGTTTTTCATCAAGAGGAAAACATCAGTGACACACTGCAGCTGAAAACATTTAGTGCTATGCAATCATTACCTATGTCACTAATGTTAATCAAAATACCAAATTTATTTCTAAAACCACCAGGGTTTCTGTCAAAAATTTACTTATTCATTATCTAACACTATTACATCTGTCATATTACAGCCGACCTGATAATCCCTAGCATTCAGCGAAAGGTCATGTCAGCACTGGATATAGCAGATATAGTGTAGTTGAAATATTATAACACATTTTCCTTTGCTTAACTCGTGTTTTTTGATTTTAGAATTACCGACACACACGTATTCTTAATCACCCTCATCGTGGATACATATATATTCTTACTGTTGTATACAGCACCTACAAACTACATACCATGTGTATGGGTATATTGTTATAAAACTACAATTGATAATATGCATGCAAAATTGATCTCGTATGATTCAGCCAGCCTCTCTATCATGCTGTCATCTACGTGTGTAGAAACACAACACAACATTTTGTTTACCACTTTCAGGTTTCCTACGTCGAAACAATTCAATTTCCTACACCTAAGAATTACAGCAGTTGAGACATATCTGTGGAAGATATGTTTCTTCTTTTATTATTCATTATGTGTATTCATGGTTCACCAATGAGGGCGGGCTGTATGAACTCTTGTCCAACGGCGGAGCTTGCCCTGTCTGAACCATAATGCCTGGTGCCATATCAACATAAAGCCTTTAGTCTATTTTGAATCCATCCACGTTAATTTACTATAGCTCGAGAAAGCGTGGACGAGTGGATTTATTGTGGTGATAGCTACAAGTTTTCTCTATTCATGTTGATTCAAACTGAGTTGCTTACAATCCTTCTGTTAGGGTAAAATATTCATTTTTTACTCATTTAGTATCTCATAGGTTTATTCGGTTTTAAGGTTCCTACAATGTTAACTCAGATCAACACCTGAGAATATTACGAAATTGTGTGTAATACATTCATGTGTGTAACTCTGTGACTTATGATCTCTACCATTCTGTGAATTCCCAGATTTGCTTTCAGGTTCTGACTTTCATAGTCAATACAGCTTGTGGCCTGCCAGGTTATCACCTGTCTGAATGCTTCCAGATCCAGCGTTGAATCGATAATTACAACCACCAGGTGACTATTTCACGTGAAAGCATATCCCACCATGCGTTAGCTTATCTGCAACATCTTCAATATTTATGTTAGAAATTCGGTTGTTCTGGTTGATGTTGAAACAAGGCTGTTAAATTTGTATAATTTACCAATGATATCATTTTACTTTTGTTGCAACTATTTATCCATCGAGATTGGAGAACTGAAAGTTATCTTCGCCTAGGAATGCTAAAGAAGTTCCAACTAAATCTTGGCACCCCCTCGCCCTAAGAACAGTAACCTCTGAACAATGGCTTGTCGCCAGCATAACTCCTCACAGAACAGCAACCTCTGAACAATGGCTTGTCGCCAGCATAACTCCTCACAGAACAGCAACCTCTGAACAATGGCTTGTCGCCAGCATAACTCCTCACAGAACAGCAACCTCTGAACAATGGTTTGTCGCCAGCATAACTCCTCACAGAACAACAACCTCTGAACAATGGCTTGTCGCCAGCATAACTCCTCACAGAACAGCAACCTCTGAACAATGGCTTGTAGCCAGCATAACTCCTCACAGAACAGCAACCTCTGAACAATGGATTGTAGCCAGCATAACTCCTCACAGAACAGCAACCTCTGAACAATGGATTGTAGCCAGCATAACTCCTCACACACGATGCCCATTTCACTATTCTCTTCTTCAAACTAAATCCTTGGTCACTGTATACCAAACTTTCACCTATTCTCTTTCACCAATATTAAATTATTGACTACGAATATTAACACAGGAAGCTATTACAAATACAAAAACATTTAAGAGTTCAAAGGATTCGGCTGACATGAACGAACTAAAAAGTCATAAAATGAAGAAACTAAATCTGATGTATCAAAAACAAATCTTTATTTACTACTTAACATTACATGATACAATGTTATATAAAGGAATATGTAAACTTAAAGTGATAAATAACTTATTCAAAGCAAATAACTGAAGCTGACAAAGGAAAATATTCTGTTGGGATTTAAGGCAGCAAACTGTTGTCTAATGTACAAAAAATATAGTTCTTTCTGATGGGAAAGAGTTTAAATAATAACTGGTGAAAATAAACTTTCAATATATGCAAGAGTCAAAAATCCTACAAACTATGCGATCGAATCAGTGAGTCGATTAAAATGTATTACAATAAATTTAGTGTGTGTGGCTTATTCTTCACAATGTCCTATTTTAATGTTTACATTACGGGATTTTAAAATACTTCATCATCAAAACTTAGATAATGTTCACGTACAGTAAGTGAGACATCGGAATGCTTGCTCCTTCCGGTTTTGAAACTCAAGTTCAATAACGTGATGAAAACTAATGATACTGCTAACAAGGGACCTATCAACGATCTAAACTAGCCAGAGAATAAACCCTTCTATCACACACAAACAAAGGCTTTTTATCGTGCTTAACACGGTCAAATGTGTGTAATTTTTTTGTAGACGCCAATTTCTTTGTGGTATCCCCACACCTGATTAGGATCTACTGTCCAACAAGGTGACGAAAGACGAGAACTCTCACTAATTGAGCTAAAGGGTTAATCCTTTAGAGCTCGTTTCTTGTCATGTAATTAGCCTCAAAATGGAATCTTCGGCGGCTCACGTGATAGGACACCACAGTGAGTCATTAGGGCACGTTAAACTTGTTTTGTGCAATTAACTAATACATATAAGGAACACACTACCAAGGTCTTTACCACGCATGCGTATTGGCGAGCCACGAAATGACGTAAAAGACCTATGAGTAACATGGCAGCCTTTCTACTAGCGGGTTGACGTTTGTAAGTTTTAAAGTCCATAAAATAGTTGATGGAACACGTCGTAGTTGACTTTTCTTTATGCCGGTACCATTTGATTGCTTTTATAATTGCTATAAATTCGAGGAGAAAAGAAACATTGACATCCCTGTTAGTCAGGTCTTAAAGATGGGAGTCGATCAGTACCAAGATAATCATCTCTACAAGGATGCAACACATCTGTTAAATCATTAGTAGTTTTTTGCCCTATTCTTACGGTAAAAGAGGACTGAAACTATTGTTATCCACAACCGCCTTTAAATATATTTTATATCTGCAAGCTCTTAAAAGTATCATTACGAATTTAAGTTGACAAGCAAAATGGCAAAAATGCGATATATCCTTCGTTTATTTTCTACAGCAAAACTCTTAGACTTAGTTACAAAGGCTTCCAAGAAAAATTTCTAATCCCATTTACTACAAATGCTCCGAAGTTTGCCATATAAAAGCAATGGAGTTTTCAGCATAGAGAATTGTTGTTTATAGTACAAAACTACCTGATGGGCTATCTGCACTCTGTCCATCATGGGGAATCGAACCCTTAATTTTAGCGTTGTGATCCACTAGGGTACCTATAGAGAGAGTAAATGTTTCTCAAGAGGAAATTATTTCAGTATAACAATAATTCGTATGTCAAAATTTTATTGTTTAAAAAAATTATCAATATTACCGAAAATGTGAATTATTTTATTACATAACAAACAATATTAAGGAAAATTTAGAAACATATTATATTTATTTTCAAATATTCATCCCATTTCACTTCGATTTGATGTTTCTATGCGAAAATTTCAATTTCATTAACTTTCATGGTCACATACTTTACAAATCGCGTAACTAGGTTTCTTAACTAACTTTCTTCATGTTTACTTTCCAATTTGAACATTCCAATTGTTGATTTGTTTGTCCGTTTGTAATTAAGCATAAAGCTACACAATGGGCTATCTGTGCTCTTTTCACCACGGGCATAGAAACCGGGTTTCTAGCGTTGTAAGTCCGTAGACATACCGCTGTACCACTGGAGGGTGCCAAATGTTGAGTTAGTGAAGTTACTAAAACTGGATTTAAATTCGGTACTTTACAAAAGGACTAGATTTTGCGTTATTGTAAATTTTGAACATGAATGTATTTATTAATTAGTTAAGTAAAAATACCAGTTACCTTACACAATCCGTAAACAAGTTTTTCAGAAAATGTTTTAAAACTTTCACGCAAAACTATACAGCTCCACGAAGTCGTATGTACTTTTCAACTACGGGGAAGGCAACTAATCAACATCATCCACCGCCAACTCTTAATAGAGTTGCTCTTGTCTGACTAAACAGTGAGATTTATCTGCCACCTGTGAAGAGTGCGTTTTGGGGGCAACAAAACGCGAATGATGAATAACTGGAGTTACAGTTCAGGCACACTACTAATATTAGGCCACGCTCAGTTCAACCTTTATAGCCAGATATTATAGTCACCAATATAGGCGCAGATAGCCACGTTGCCTTGCGCCATTAAACCCCAAGCAACCAGCCAACTTTTGATATATAATTATAAAACTTATTTGAAAAACTAAGATTTGAATAACATAGAAAATTTACATGATGAGAACACTATTAACGACATCTCAGGTCCAACTAACAAGCATACTATGACTGGTAACTTAGGAACTGTACAATATTGTAACTTAGAAAAGATTCTGGATAAACTGTTTAAATATAGATTGTTTATCTGCCTATGCATACCGTAAGGATTGGATCTCAGATATTAGTATTATCAGCTTGCAATTTCCGTTGAGTCAACAGGAGAGGAAGAGAGGCTTAGATTGATTATCCAAAGTGTTACTTAAAAAATTATCTTATATGATTTGTAGGAAAAATTAATTAATTAATATTTAAGTGAACTCAATTCTATCCTAGATTATTCGCTTAGTTTATTCTAGGGTGAAAATATTTTATGTAATGTTAGTTAAGTATTAGAAAGGTTAGTTTTATGATTTTTATTTTTATCAATTTTTAAGAATAAAATTTGTCATTTCCAGGCCTATTATATTTTCAGTTTTCTGTGTTCATATGTAATATCAAAACTACAAAACAAAAATCAATTTTAATTCAGGTTTTCATGGTCTTTGTGAAAACTGTTTTAAAAATAGTCAGCCATCAAAAAATTGAATTTACAAATAAATATAGTTAGAGATGTTTATCAAGTGTGGTTCAAGACTTTTGGATTGTAAGCATCAGTGACATAGTTTTACACGATTTAGAAATTTATACATAAAGCAGAAATACTGTTTCCCTACACCCTTGATTTTTCGAATTTGCGTACTCACAATCTTTATTTTGTATTTCTTACTTTCATTTCATGAAAAACAAACACCTTCAGACAACTGGCTACAAACAGTAAATTGTAATTATTTAAATATGAAACTTCATAGTAGGCTTAAGCACCCATATCTATTGTCATTGTTATTTATTTTCAAACGTGAGTCTCGAAAATGGTTTGTTTGTTTGTTTTGGAATTTCGCGCAAAGCTACACGAGGGCTATCTGCGCTAGCCGTCCCTAATTTAGCAGTGTAAGACTAGAGGGAAGGCAGCTAGTCATCACCACCCACCGCCAACTCTTGGGCTACTCTTTTACCAACGAATAGTGGGATTGACCGTCACATTATAACGCCCCCACGGCTGAAAAAGCGAGCATGTTTGGTGTAACAGGGATTCAAACCCGCGACCCTCTGATTGCGAGTCGAGCGCCCTAACCACCTGGCCATGCCGGGCCGCTCGAAAATAGAGGTTAAATCTGCCAGATGGTGAATTCCTATACCGCTGTGTAGGTTCGACCTCCAAATATACCTCATTTACTAAAATACATTTTACCACTCTCAATTTGTAGTTTGTATATGAATTTTACTTATCTGTTTGCAACGCTTTCATTTGTGGCTTTATCTGAAACAAGGCATTAACAATTTGTTCAAACTAAAATAAGAAAGAGATGTAACTTCTCGCGCTCTCTTTCATTTCAATTTTAAGATTAGCATAAGTATTGTGTAATTACTTTATATTACGCCACACAGACACACACACACATATATATATATATATTTATAGAGGTTAAAACAGAAATGCTTTGATTTCAGCCTCTGCAACCTATTAACAACGAAAAAATTGTGGAATTTGAAGCGCGAGGCCTTGTCGTCATGTTGTTTCACCAGTATCAAAAGGATAAATGAAACTTTATTACAAAGAATTTTTCAACAGAATATTTAATAGCTCTTGAGATTCAAGCTACTCCTCTTATCTGCAGTTTGCTGTAATTATTTCTAGTGACGAACATTAAGCCTATTAAGTCGTTTGTACAATCGAGAATTCACTTTTCAAGTGACGTTTCATACTTATTTTTATCATTTAGATTAATCCGTGGTTCATAAGATTAAAAAGAAAGAAAGAAGAGTTCCTTATTTTTCACATAGTAATAGCCTGTAAGTGGTTTGTCTTTCTTAAAAGCACATGGAAGGAGGCTGTTCATATATACTTAGTAATTTTTTCATGTTGGGATCATTGTGGATAATTTTTATTTATAACTGTGTCAGAGACGTAGCATTAACCTGATTAACGTCTTTGTATTTCAAAATGAGACCGAAGCTTAATGACGATAGTGCCTCATTCATATACCCAGACTTCTGGAGATTCTAGAATTTTAAGAAGCCTACATTGAATATCCAATCTTTTCTGGTTGCACATTTTTATTATAAAAGAATCTAAAAACATATTCAGGGGACTGCAATAGCAATCTATTTCTAACTCAAGTCTAATTTTCCACAGATGGGCAAGGCAAACGTCTTGGCCTACTGATTCACGCGC